ACAGCTTTAAATGTTTTTTCTACATACCTTAAGGTACCACGCGGCTCGTGAACAGTGAAATGGTGGGGTGGATGGAGCATCCCACAGAAGCACAGTGTGGTCTCCAGCACATTCAGTGACAGACCTGAAAGTGGACCAGAAGCACGTCTGGTCCACTTCTGGGTCCACCACTTCTGGATCCCTGCCCCTTCCTCCCTCCCTCCCCCCCTGCCCCAGGCAGAAGGCATATATTTATCAGTATATTAGCAGCTACACCAGCCAAAAAAAGCTGATAGCCAAAAGTGTTGTTTCCTTTTATCGGTGCCGATCCAATATACCACCAATATATCCATGCACCTCTACTGAATGGTAAACTGTTAAATCCATGAGAAAAAAGATACTGAAGTACAAGGACAAAGAGACTTCTGAGAAGTCACAAGATTAGGGATAGTTCAGAGGCCTAAAATATAGCTGTGTGCCACATGCTGCCTTGCCACCTGGCTCAGCTGCAGCCCTCCAGCCTGACTCTGAGGCTTTTTCACCCCATACCTCTGCTGCAGCTCTCTGCCTCATCCCTTGGGTCTCTGTGCTGATTGCTCCTCTGCTGCACAGCTCTGCTGCCTCTCTCCCCCTGATCTCTGAGCTCCTTCAACACATGCTTCTGCATCATGCAGCTCTGCTGCCATACCCTCCGCGGAATATCTGGCTTCTCTCCCACATGCCATGCTGCAGTGCTGCTCTTCCCAGCACTGCTCTGACAGTAGTCCCCCTCTTTTGCCCTACCAATCTTCAGAACCATGCTGCTCCCAAAGTGGTGTGCCAGAGCCTGTTCACCATCAGCGCTCACTGCCTGTCCTAAAGTGGGCAACATGGGAGACCATGGGCTCTTGCCCCTTCATGGCCCAAATTAGGTTGTGTGCATGTGATGGGTTTGTGAAACAAAGGACTATGTCGACAGGACAGAAAGTGGACAGTATGATGACCACAAGAAGGCAAATAAGCAATGCCCAGAGATCAAGTCATCCGGGGGGGGGGGGGGGGCCGGG